TTAATTTAAATTACTTTAGATGTAGATTGTAATAAGTTTATTGTGTTAATGGAAAATATGTGAAGGACATTGAAGTGATTCACCAATTCTACAATATAAAGTATCAGGAAAATCACTCTTTTAGTCCCTGAAATAGTCATCATATTGAAATGTTAGACCTGTGTTCCTAAGTTTGCAAATGTCACCCCTCAATTGTTCAAAATATTGTAAATGTGGTCCTTTGAGATGTAAAATGTACAATGTGGGCGAGGAGTACATTTCACCCCACAAAAGAGCACATTTACAGCAATTTGAACAATTGAGGAGTGACATTTACAATCTCAGAAATACGGGTCTGGGATTTCAATATGGTGACTATTTCAGGGACTAAAAGTGCGATTTTCTCTAAAATATCATTCAACCAAAAGAAATAGTGTCGCATTCCCTTAATCTTAACCAAACACAAATGAGATACAAATTGAATACATTATCATCAATCTAACATACCCAGTAATCTGACATTTTCATGATAATCTAACATTCCTTTGAACCAAACGAACCCTAAATGGTTGTAAGTATGATCATGATTAACAAGATGATAGAAGTACTATAGTGTCAAGATCAATAGAGAAGATGCGAGGAACCTGTGTTTTACTGATGTAAAATCATACTGTCTTTGTTCTTTAAAATCGTAACTTTCAATTTTTGGTTATCCCATTAACTTTGACACTTTCTCTTTTAAGTAAAAGAACATGTGGTTTCAATTAATTCTCTCTCCCTTGCATAAACATCAATCATACAATTTTTACTTTATTAATCCTCGTACCGGTTAAATTTGGACAAATTATAGGGGAGATAACAAGGTAGGCCGTAGGCAACGATATAAACTCGGTAGTAGATCTTTGACTCTTTGTATGTAAATAGTCGTAATAAAGTAATCTTGCTAAGTTGATTCTTTTATGTCATATACATCATGCATGATGTGTACTTAGTCAAATTTGCTTCTAATCTTTACCCTAGTCCATATACTTTCAATATCTGTGTTACAAGGTAGACATAGGTGTCGTTTGGATTTCAACGTTTTTTGTCCAATCCGTTGCTAATAGCAGCGTTTTGCTTTGTAAAAGAAATGGCGGTTTGCTCCACCCGCTGAAATCCAAACAGGGTCACAGTCACGATTATGAATTGGAATGAGCTTGTGGTTGGTCAGTTTTTTTTTTAATTTAAATAATTTTTTCTTAGGGCATAGTTAAAACTGAAAATAATTTGGGTTGGCAAAATACATTAGATGTATTTTAACACTCGAAATAGATTCATAGACTGCGTTGACCCACAGTCCAAATGAATAATTTAATATCATGGTGTCTAAATCACATAAAATGTACAATGTATAAGGTAAATATTTATTTTGCATATGTAAATTTTGAATATTCAACTCACACCTCTCCAAAATTTAGGGTATTTGAATTATTTTTTCCATGGTCAATTTGTACTACGTATGAGGTAAATATTTAAAAGAAAATCAATAATTTCATTATAATGTACTAGTATCACATATCATTCATGTAAATGTCTACTCGCTAAGATTATAAGAAGTAATTTTCACCTTAAAGAAAAAACGTGAAACAAAACAGTGCAAAATAGAATCAAAGAATTTCACTTTCCTAAATTGTGTGTAAAACGAATGAAGGCTTTTATATAGGGACGGAGGGAGTATTGGAATATTTGGAAACATGTGTTTCTTTTTTCTTAAACTCTATGCAAAGTAGTTGTTCCTTTTACTTTTTGCTATGCAAAAAATGTGTATGGGATACTTAATGATTTACTTAGTCACAATAAATAAATAGCATAAACTCTTTAGAACTGTATAATTTGTATGTGAAATATTTGTTGAATTAATTCCACTTTTGGCCCCATGAGTATTGCACCAATTCTACAATCGGTTCACGTCTTTAACTTTGACCATTTTTTTGTGCTTGAGTATTGTGTTTTCGTCCATATATGGTCCTTCCGTCAATATTTTCGATGGTTAAAATCACCGAAAAAGGACCACTAATGGTTAATAAACATTAGTCAAGTACTAATCATATACAAAATGAAAGACATGGTCTAAATGTGGAATTGATTCAATATTTATTTTGCACCACAAGACATGGTGTCCAAATAATTGTCCTCCAGAAAAATCCCACAAAATGCTAGGTAGGTAAGCTAGCTAACAAGTTCAATTAGTGGGGTTGGCGTATGTGATTTCTCTCACACCATTCTTTTCAAGTTTTGGGAGACACCAAATACTTTTAATTATATCCATACAAGACAAAAACAATTGTGTTAGGTAAATATAATGTAAAAATGTGATATTATATGTCTTTGTGAAGATAAGGTTAAATGTTGATGAGGAAGTTACATAAACGTTGCTCTATATGCTCAGAGTCACCGACCTGATTTCACACTATAAATTGCGTGGTGAACAAAATAAATGAAGTTAAATTTTAATTTTCTCGCTGAATTACCTAAAATTATTGTAGAGAGCTATTTCAACTATTTCATATCTAATTTTTTTCTTTATGTTATTGATGAAATATAATTGAAATATATCTAGTTCATTCAGCCGTTTCAAATTACATTTCAGTAGATTTAGACGATTCAGTCAATTTCATCATTACTAAACAATCTCTACATGTTTCTGGGATAAATTTTCTATATCAATGGAGTTTTGTGTTGAATTTTTTATATCAATGGTGTTTTGTGTGTAAACTAGTTTGAGAAATGAGAAATATAATTATTCGTGAAAAAGTGTATAGAAAAAAGGGTAGGCGGTGATGAGCATTGGGTAGAATGATCAATTTTGGGACAAAGAGTTGTAAGTTGAAAAAACCAATGTGTACGCTCAGGATAAAATTGGGTAAGAGCTTTAGGGTAATTAACAAATTATACCGTGAGATCGGTCCACCTTACACATGGTGTGCTGATCCCATTTTAAAGGAACTTACGTTACTTTCTTTTTTGCACTTCATTTGTTTGGAGCTTTGCTATTCTATTTTCCTTTCCTTTTCTTTATCTATTTTTCTTTTGTTCAATTCTTCTCCTTTTCCATCAAACTAAATTACTAATAATTTAATTTCATTTTTATTTTTCTTTATCTTCATCTTAAATTATAATTGAATATTTTTTTCTTATTCTTTATCAATACATAACAAAGAGTTTATTAATCAAAATAAAATAAGTATATTGCATTTCATATTCATACACTTTTTTATTTCTGTAATATTTTTTATATTCACACACTTTTTTGCAATATTTTTTTTATATTCATACACTTTTTTGTAATCTATTTTTATATGTATACATTTTTTCTATTATATATATATATATATATATATATATATATATATATATATATATATATTCTCTTTTACATGCTTGAGATGTTTTTAAAACATTGAGTTTGTTTATTTTGATTCATGAAGTTACATTTGATAATATATTATGAAGTTACATCTTTTATGATCATGTTACATCTTATTATGCGTAAGTAACATTTTGTTATGCGTGAGTTACATCTCCTTATATATCTAATTATTTGTGATTTTTTACTTATCTTTATCTTTAATTAATTAAATTACAACTGAATTAATTTTTTTCCTTACCAATTTATTACAAAATTTTATTAATCCACATAAAATAAGTATATCATATTTCATAATCATACACTACTTTTTACTTTTTTCCTTCAACTAAAATTACTCACGATTTTTTTTTGTAATGTTTTTACATTTATACATTTTTTTTAAAAAATCTTTTTATATTCATACACTTTTTTGTATAATATATTTCTTATCTTTTTATATGTTTTTTGCCTTTTAAAGACATTAAGTTAGAAAAACTATGAGATTACATTTTTCAAATGAGTGAGTTATGTTTATAGATAAATTCTATAGTTACATTTGGTATCATATGGATTTATATCTTTTTATGAACGAGTTACATCTTTTTGTGCGTGAGTTACATCTTCTTGTGCGCGAGTTACACTTAGACTTGCCTCAACAAGTTACATTTTGCATACATCTAAGTTAGATTTCTCATCAACATGAGTTACATTTTCCATAACACTAGTTACATACCAAAATAAACCCCCACTATTGAAACAAAAAAATTCAATTTTTTTTTTGCAAAAAAAATTGATTTTTTGAAAAAAAAAAAACGATATTCAAAAAAAAATTTATGACCTTAATATTAAAAAAACATATCCACTACTTATGCAAAGTAATTGTGCAATTAGACTACTTTTTTTTCATTGTTTACATTGAAATCAAGATTTTATTTCTTCTTCTTCATATTAGAAAAGTTACATCGCAACTTGACTGCAGTTACATTGCATATTAACGTGAGTTACATCTCATTACACACAAGTTACATCACTCTGCTACTGAAAACAAAAAAGGTTATTATTCACGCGTGTTACTGTTCACGCGTGAATTAGATGTGAGAGCACCATGCTCACCATGTGTTGCTCTCACGGTATACCAACTGAGGGTAATTGGGAACAATATATATATACATATATATATATATGTATGTATATATATATGTATATATATATATACATACACACACTACCTCCGTCCCTTAAAACTTTGCCAACTTTCCTTTTTTGGATGTCTCATTAACTTTGCCGCTTTCTCTTTTGAGTAAAGTATACGAAGTATATGGTTTCAGTTAATTCTCTCTCATCTGCACAAACATAAACTACATAATTTTTACTTTATTAATCTACGTGTCGATTAAACTTGAAAAAGTTTTAAGGGACCGGGGTGAAGTATATGTTTGTTTTGGGAGGTAGAAGCTGGGAAGTGCTACACCAGAAAAGCAACGGCTGCGAAGTGGGAATACAGGTCTTTCCAACTGGGACGCTGGGGCCCACCAGTCGAAGTCCACATTTGAAATGCTTGCCCCCACATATTGAGTGTCATCGACAGAGAAAAGACTCTTCTCGTATTCTTCTTGTACCAAAGCCAGACGCTGTATGTAATCCCCTGTGTATCTTGTCTCTCTGGCTTGCGTTTCTTTTCTTCTATCCAGTCTCTCTCTCTCTCTCTAAACACCTGACAATAAAATCAGCATCTCTGTATTCTTCAAGTATCTGGTAAACATATCTTATACTTCTTGAATACCTTGAATACTTCCAAAAGTGTATTCTTGAGTATCTTGAAGCTTGATTAGATTTTATGTGTTCTTTTCTTGGTCTGTGGATGTGGTTTTTGTTAATCAGCACCTGTTATAGGATATATGAATTTGTTGTGCTCTAGGCCCTGGCTAGCTCTGTAATTCTTTTGAATTGATGTATTTTGGACTCTTTGTTTTAATTCCAGCCTCCAAAGTGATTTTAGCACATTGAATCAAAATAGAGTGTTGATCACTGAGATACTCTGATGATTTTAGTCAAGATTTATTGTAAAGGTGGTAGTTTTGATTTGATTTTGTGAAAATTAATTTAAATACCCAAAAACCCAAACTTTGGGAAGTGTGAAGTAAGCACCCAGACATGCAATTGTGAAGGAAATATCACAATTGCTAAGTGCCCTTGGGGTTGGGGATTCAACCTTTTGGACGTGAAGGAAATATCATGAGTTTCATTTTACAGGTGATCTTGTCACTATGAACGTGGTTTTTTCTTTCAAAATTGTATGTTTAGGCCTTAAGGGTGCTTTAGATACTCGAACATTTGGTAGTAGGCACTTAGCATCTCAAACTTACATTTCTGAACATAGAACCCGGGTTCATGCGGATGAGATCACATGCATAAAGTTTATAAAACAAAGTTCATGATATTTATCTCTTACATGAAAGTTCTGGGCATCAAGTACACACCTCCTCAAAGTTCGGGTAGTTAAATTAGTTTTCATTTTATTTATTTATTTCCTTGTAACATATATTTCCGTTGGTCTACTGTGAGGCATCTGTTGGTCATTAGTACACAGATAGTTCAAGTTAAGGCATTTGTTGGTCATTTTAGACTTCATTGGATGTGTGACTCTGTTAACGAGGCTAGTATGCAATGCTTCAATGCAATTCTTCCTATTCTGTCTGGTGTGTAAAATTTTCATTGTTTTTTATTTTACTTTTCTGTATGTTTGGGCAAACCTCTCTGCGCAATGGAAAATTAGTTTTGATTTGAAGCGGATTAAAATAGTCGCTTCCCATTGTCAGCTACATTATTGGTCGACTAATCATGCTACTCTTATGATGAGTCAGAAATGGATGGAGGAGCTTTAGTATGAAAAGCCTTGTTTTTTTATATAGTTTTGCATCACAGTATTGATGTTTCATTGGTTGATTTTCTAGTGTTGGTCACTTTAGAGTTCTCTTCTAATTCTATTCAAACTGCAGATTTATCTTTTCTTGTTCTTGTTGCTGTTTTTTTCCCAGTTGGATATAGGTTCCATCTGGCTAAGAAGATTTAGTCATGGATCATCCGGATATCGGGCTGGGCTCAGATCTGTGGACAAAACCGTCTTCTTTGTCTTGCGATGAATATTTGGGAAATGTACAACCAGACTACCTCCAGTCCTTGAACAATTTTACTTTTCAACAACAGCAAAAGTGGGATGGTTCTTTTCTAGATAACCAACCACCATCTGGTGTCTACGGCCAACCTTCTGTTTCTACAATGAACACTACTACTACAGCTAGTGTCCTGCCAGACACCCAAGACTGTGACTCAAACATGATTCACGAATGGGACCCGAAAACTATGCTGTCCAACCTCTCTTTTCTTGAAAAAAAGATCCACCAACTCAAGGATCTGGTGCATTTGGTCATCGGTCGTCAAGGAAATGAACTTCCAGTTAATCAGCAGCTTATCACAGCTGACCTTACTTCTATCATAGTCCAACTAATATCTACCGCAGGCAGCCTTTTGCCAACTCTGAAGAACACGCCACAACGTATGATGAACAAGGTTGAAGATCATCACCACGCAATCCATACCGGGGATGATTCTGGAGGAACGGATCACCAGAACAGTTCTGCTGTTGCCGAAGAACATGATTTGATGAAAGAGGAAGACGAAGAAGAAGAGAACCTGGTCCCTGGTTCCTATGAGATTCTACAGCTCGAGAAGGAGGAGATTCTTGCACCCCATACTCACTTTTGCACAATCTGTGGGAAGGGATTCAAACGAGACGCCAACTTGAGGATGCATATGAGGGGTCATGGGGACGAGTACAAAACCCCGGCTGCCCTCGCCAAGCCCCCCAAAGAAGTCTCGGCCTCCATGGAGCCCACACTTGTTAAGAGGTATTCTTGCCCTTACGCAGGGTGTAAGCGGAACCGGGACCACAAGAAGTTTCAACCTCTGAAGACAATGTTGTGTGTAAAAAACCATTACAAGAGGACTCATTGTGAGAAAAGCTACACTTGCGGCCGGTGTAACGTGAAGAAGTTCTCCGTCATTGCGGACCTAAAAACGCACGAGAAGCATTGTGGCAAAGATAAATGGCTTTGCTCCTGTGGTACAACTTTCTCCAGGAAAGACAAGCTGTTCGGTCACATCACACTTTTCCAAGGTCATACTCCTGCTATCCCTCCCCTGGAAGATCATAAAGGATCATCCACATCCACTAGTTCTCAAACAGATCATCTGAAGCTAAATGCTGCTGCTGCTCAGATTGGTGCAAATTTGGAGAATGATGTCAGAGGGAGTGGTGATGATGTCGGCAATTACTTTTCACCTTTGAACTATGGTGATCTCGGGGGTGGATTTCAAGATTTCCCTAGAGTCCCATTTGGTGACTCAGACAATTCCTTCTCTTTTCTATTGTCAGGTTCATGTGATTACCCTCAGAGGGCAGGGAAATATATGGAGTTCCAGTAGTAATATTTACCATTCTCGATTGTTGCCTTATTGTTGTATTGAACAACACATTTTATGTTAGAAATGTATTCATCATCACCGTATTCAATAAAAGTGTTACTCTTAGAAACACATTGTATCGGTTAATTCCAAAATAACACCACTACACCAGCCTTTAATAAACACATCCTGATAAGTCTATGTTGAACTCAATTGAGAGACAAATTTGGGGCAAGGGTGGAAGGAAATTATCTCTAAATTGCTCTCAAATTATCTCACGTATTTACCTGGAGTAATTTTACAATTCTCTGAAACCCCCTTTTCTAACCTTCTCTGTAGATATTGCCAAGTGTTGCCTTAAGGTATTTAAACACATATTAAGGAGGATGAAGTTTTTAAAATCACAATAAGGATATTATATAGTAGAAAATGCTTCTCGTTTGGAAAGTGAGCATTTAATACCAAACCTCAATTCGTTCCAATTCTCAAACCTCTATATGTTCTAGAAAGAACATTAATTGAGGGCACTATTACTCCCTTTGCAAGATTCTATCTTTGAAGGTATTAAATTAAAGTGTATACTCCGTCCCTTTAGAGTAGATGCTAAATATTGCAGCTTCCCGTTAAAAGTGAACAAATTTTATACCATTGAGTGAGCTGATCTTGCCCCATAATGAGAAAATTATGGAGTTGCACCAGCATTACACAAAGGAGCAACGAACTATTCCTTGTTTTTAATTAACATTCAAGGGGAAAAAGAAACATATGACTAGTTTTTGTTTGAAGATGAAGTGGACTGTGTGGATGGGAAAGAATGATGGAGCAATAATATGAGCTTCAATCCCCATGCATAATAATTTGCTTGTTTTGAATGAGGTTTCTTCAGCGGGCGTTGATAATATGTCTCCTTGAGAACAATGTCATCCTCATATGACCACGTTATGCCCCTTGGAGAGCTTTTAGTCCAAAGAAACCTCTCAGAAAATGGATTCACTAGGCTTTCTCTGAAATCTTTGGCTGTCTCGCAAAGTAAACCCTGCATCAGATTAACAAATTAAAAAACCAACATAAAAGAGTGCGTAAGGATCATCCATATCCCAATCACATTTTGGGTCTGTTTGGATGGTGTGGGCTTTTGGAGGGGAGGGCTTGGTCTATTATGTTAATATATATTTGAAATATTCCTACAACCAAAAGATCATGATAGTAGGTGATTGTATAACATTTCAATCACCTTTTATTTGTTTAAGAAACACTCAGTCTATCAAGAGATATAGACGTAGCCCTCCATACCCTCAAAAAACATTTATCCAAATAGACTAACCTTAATACACACACACAAAACAAAACGCAGAAGTGAATAATCTAAAATGTTTTTTACTAACACTTACCTCTGCCATGGACTTGATCTTCAGAGAGATATCATCACTGAGGAGGATGAGTTTTGTCAGGCCATTGTTGATTTTTCTCAAGAAGAGAGCATATTTAAGAATGCGATCTTCTGCAGGTGTTGGAGTAGCAATGTCACTTGTTTCTTCTTCTTCATCTAAACTCTGAACATGAACCCACCACTTTGAATTTTTCATACAATCTTCAACCCATTCTAATGCTGAAGACACCTCTGTCGTTCTTGTAAAGAAACTAGCTCGACTTTTCATGCAACCTAGTTCCTTTATGACTGAGAGTAAAAGACATGTAACCAATCAGGAAAATAAGTTGTTATTGTAATAAAAAGACGACTGGCACCATATGATCTAGAGAGGTTTGCGGATACATGGATATGTGAGGGGATGAAGAAAAACTTATAAACAGGTTTGATTACCAATACGAGGAATGATCAAAGAGGTCGATTTGAGACCCTGCAAAAGATGCAGAGCTTTCCTAGACTCTTTGTTCAGCAGACTTGTAGTATCCACCACTATGCACCAACTTCTTTCTTTCTCCCTGACTTTAGGCTCCTGTAATACAAAAACTTGAAATCCTTAATCGTAATCAGACACATGAATTAGTTTATAACCGTAATCTGACCATGAAAAGGGGCATCATCAAACAAACTTAACACGAGTACTACTAACATCCATGACAACTAGTTTATTATATTTCTTTGAACAAATGCTGAATTAGAAACTTGGCAAAAGAAATAGCCAAATCAACTTACAGAAAAATGACAGATCTTATCTCCCATTCCTGGACAGAATGACTCAGTAGTGCTTCTGGAATTGATGAGCACCGATCGAAAGGGCACTCTATCCTTCTGTTTAGACTGCTGCATATGTAGTCCTAGCTCTTTAACATTGCTCTTCACTTTGAGTTCTTTCTCATTGTTATTTTGCTCATATTGATGTAATCTTGAGTTGAAGTCATCAGCTAGCTCAGAGTTGTTAATAGCTTCTCTTGACTTTCCAATCTTGTTCATCGACCACATAAAATGAGTATTAGGGGTCATGTTCTCTTTATCTGGAGTAAAAGTTTCATCATCTCTCTCATCATCACAATTCTCATTCTTCAAAGGAGATGGTTTAAGCACTTTCAGTTTCGTTAGGTTTTGAAGCTTCCCCTTCGGTTGTATTAACCTCTGGAGATGAGTATTTAGAGTCTCGTTCTCCTTATTTGGACTTATAGTTTGTTTATCACCACCTTCTTCCATATTTGGAAATGAAAGTCTCATGGTAGGTCGAGTGCAATTCTCTTTACCTGGTGAGGTATACAATATTTCTTCAACATCCATCATGTCCCCACCACTCAAAGCAGGAATATCCAGAGGTATGCTCTCTTTGATGGGAGTGGCTACCGTTTCCTGATCAATTTCATCCACCTTTGGAAGTGAATATATTAGAGTTGATCCACATGTCTTCAAATCAAACTCATCTGTATTCTTCAAGGACTGGAGTGAGACAGAACTTAGAGTCGGATTCTCTTTCTCTTTGACAGGATTAAAAACTTTTTTATTCACATATCCACCATCACTTGGTGGATAAATGCCAAAACTTACATTCTCTATATCTGGAACGACCATAATGTCACCTCCTTTGCCCACTACTTTATAAACAACATCATCTTCAGAAGATCTGATAGTTGATCCACTTTCTTTATTCGACAATGACCTGGGTGGGACAGAATAGGGAGACAAATTATCTTCACTCGGAAGTTCAATAGCCATAGTGACTTTCTCTTGGTCTGGAGTGACTATTTCACCATCAACTTCATTCACTTTCAGAAGTGACAAGCTTGTTGGTGACCCATTACCCAAATCAAACTGATCTGGTGTGAGGATTTTGCTATCTGTATCATCTCTACTCGGAAAATGAATATCTATAGAGACTTTCTCTTGGTTTGGGGTGACAATTTCATCATCAACTTCAAGCACTTCCAGAAGTTCAATATCCATAGTGACTTTCTCTTGGTCTGGAGTGACTATTTCACCGTCAACTTCATTCACTTTCAGAAGTGACAAGCTTGTTGGTGACCCATTACCCAAATCAAACTGATCTGGTGTGAGGATTTTGCTATCTGTATCATCTCCACTCGGAAAATGAATATCTATAGAGACTTTCTCTTGGTTTGGGGTGACTATTTCATCATCAACTTCAAGCACTTCCAGAAGTTCAATATCCATAGTGACTTTGTCTTGGTCTGGAGTGACTATTTCACCTTCAACTTCATTCACTTTCAGAAGTGACAAGCTTGTTGGTGACCCATTACCCAAATCAAACTGATCTGGTGTGAGCATTTTGCTATCTGTATCATCTCCACTCGGAAAATGAATATCTATAACGACTTTCTCTTGGTTTGGAGTGACTATTTCATCATCAACTTCATGCACTTCCAGAACAGATTGTGACCCATTTCTTAAATCAAACTCATCTGTATTCTTCAATGCATCTCGGAGTGTAGGAGAGCTAGAAGGGCAGTTCTTGTTCTCCGGAGTTGATGTTTTTTCGCCACTCAGAAAAGGATCCTCCAAGGGAAATTGGGAATCTGTATCTGGATAACTCTCTGATTTTGTCATAATGACTCTCTCTTTGACCGGAAAGGCTATTCCATCAACTTCCAGAAGTGGGGGCTTCACTGTTGGTCCAGTTCTTGAATCGAATTCAAACAAATCCTTCAAAGAACCAAGTGGGAGACAGCTAGAAGTGCGATGGTTCTCCTTCTCTGGAGTCAACAATTGTTGGCCCACACAAAAACAATCCTTCAATAAAGACTGGATATCAGTATCTACACTATACTCTTCATTAGCAGCCGGGATTTTTTTGTCATCCACCAAAGAGATAGAAGAAGGCACGTCTGAATCAGCATATTCTGAATCAAGACTCTCCAACTCTTCACTCTTATGAAAGAACCCAACATCAGCAACCTATACGAAAAATCCCAGCATAACAAACACATTTAAGGCAGTGAAACACACTACACTGTGCAGATTATTGTTTGGGCCGAAGAGCTTACCTGATCCTCCCCTTCTTTATCACAAGAAGGCTCTGACTGAAGGAGAATTGGAGGCAGAAATGGATTATCCATATCATACGCTTGGCTCGAAGGAATCCAATGTAGCCTGTATACCCTACTTGATCCCCCTAGCTGCATAGTATCACCTTCTCTCAAGTTAATCCGAACCCCGGATTCAATCTTTTTACCGCCAATCCAAGTCCCATGCACTATAACACATAATAAGGTCATTCCATGATCAATCACAAACACATATAAGGTGCCGTTAAATAATTAAATTCAAGAGCCATTGAACATCACTAAAATCCGGGCAGATGGACACTCCCTCCAAAAAAAGAAAACAGAAAAGGAACTAATCATTCATCAAGAATCAATAACGGGTGCATAGAAAAGGAAGCAAATACCTGAAGAGAGATCAACGACGGAGAGGGATTGGGAAGAGGGCTGTGAGTAGATGCGAAGGTGGAATCTGCTGATGCTTGGGTGTTCTAAGGTGATGTTGCAATCTGGATGCCTCCCAACCAACAAAATTTCTTCCGATTTCTTGTAGGATCCCTCTGCCAAGGGTTGGTTATCGATTAGGAAAATGTTCTTGAGGATCGCATTGTTCTTCAGAACTGTGAATACAGGTATTTTTCTTTCCCCTGTTTTCTCTGATGTGGATTCTCTGTGCTCCATTTGTGTCTCCATTTTCGAATGTAGGCAGAGAGGGAGAAAGAGATGAAACGTAGAGGGTTTTAGTGCGTTGGAACGATGAGAACGGATTTCTTTCAAAGGATTTGCGAGTGTAAATGACCGTTAGGATATGAGCGTTACATCAGGCATTTATATTATATACTCCCTTTTCGGCTGGGCACATTTATTAAGATAGTGGGATTTGTGTGGTGAAGAGTTGTGCAGAGGAGAGAGAAATGTGTAAGAATGTGTAAGAATGGTTGTAAACCACAAATGTTTTGCTAAAAGGGGGAAGAGGAGATAATTTTGGGACGGACGAAAAAGGAAAGTTTTAAGATAATTTAGGGACAGAGGGAGTACAAGAAATAGAAAATAAAACAGCACTAATGATATTTCAAAAGAAAAGTAATAATGAAGAATACAAAGTTTCTATAAAGGGGTGAGCAAGTAAAAATAGAGGTGTCAAATCTTATTACATCTGTATTTAACTTTCTTTACAATTTTTAATTTTACCCTAATTAGAGACGTTTTAATCTTTATTTGAAAATCATCGTAGAAAAATTTACATCACATCAAATTGGTTATTCAATCCTCACAATTATGCTCCATATATGATATGACAAATATTCTTAGATAATGATTCAGTAATAACGGGAAAATCACATTAATAGAATAATCAATATGTGCATGAAATAATCATTACGGAGTAGTATATTTTTAATGTCAGTGTCTGAGAGAGTATATTAACCATCTACCTTTGAACCCAATGAGCTAATCAAGAGTAGAACACATGAAAGACAACCCTCGTAACGTAGTTGAGGATGCATGAAGAGGTCGAGGCCTCGAGGGTATCAGTTGTTAATCTCTGTCCTCAATAAAACCCTACACGACAAGTCTAGCATAGCGGGCCAAGGGAGCCCAAACGAGGCCAAGGGCACCAATCATCACACTCGATCACTCCTTAGTCAGAATAAACGTTTTATTAAGAGATATTACGACCGACGTTACTCCCCTCGCTGATGTCATTATGCCTTACACTTGCATCTATCTTACGCCACAATGCTTATACATACATATGGATAGAGAGAGACATGCACTTTAGTTATTGACTTATAGATAGCTTGTTAGTCGAAATTTTTCATTCTACCAAAAATAACCTTATCAAAATTATGACGAGCAGTTACAAAATTCATGTAACAATTTGATTACACTTTCTTTTGGGTGGTGTGTACTTCTTTCCGGCTCAAAATCCACACAAGTATACAAAAAACACAACATAAACCACGTAGCTTGCACACACAGTTACCAACCCCTAGCCATCTCAATCCTCGCATAGGCACAATGGAAGAACGGTGAAGAAGAGAGGTCAGTCATGCACAAAGGGACAAAGGAGGGGGTCGTCGACGATCACTACCTCAATACTCTCTCTTCTGACTCTTTCTCTCACTAAGGGTCACACTGACAAGAGTTGGGCAAAGATAGAACCAGAGTATATAAGAGGTCAAGGGTTGAAATCCTAATAGAGAGTTACTCCCTTCATCCCTTAAAACCCTGCCAAGTTTGACTAGTACGAGAATTAATAAAGTAAAAACTGTGTGGTAGAAGGTTGTGTAGAGGAGAGAGAATTAACTGAAACCACAAATTCATCGTCTAAAAGGGAAAATGACAAAGTTAATGAGACAACCAAAAAGAGAAAGTTGACAAAGTTTTAAAGGACGAAGTAGTACATATTAAGCACAAGGCAAGTGGGCCAAACACAAAAAGGGGCAAATGGGCCAAGTTGAAAATGAGCCGCATGTCTTGGCGTTGGGAGAATACCTTCACACTTTCTTTGAGTAGAATTTTACTAGTTCTCTTCTTAAATCCTTATAATGAATCATTGAAGCTTTTGTTGGAAGTGGAAACAATCAAATTCGAACTTTGGTTACTAATCTATTTTCTCAAATGGATTCTATACATGGGGGCATCAAATTCAGGGAAACCCCAAAATTAATAGAAAAGTCAATCTTGAGCCAAATCCTTTTTTTCAAAGTGTCTGTGCAAAGGCTCAAGAGAAGTTGTTCTAGCCGATCGAGTTGACTGCATGTTCTTATTCCTCCCTAATATGTAAACAATACAATTGCATAAGGGACTTTATTTGTCAAGGACGGAAGTTCTCATCATCTAAATCTTCTTCTCCAGCGGTCAACGGTGGTCTGTGAAAAACGGGGTTTCTATTCTCGTGCGCAGGCGGCACTCCAGGCTTCTAGCAACAATTTTTGGCAAACACCTACATGTCTGGCAACTCCACGGCGGTGAAAAACATCCGGATAACTGCCTCTTTCTCCTTTCCTCCCTCTCTAGGCTCTTCTTCCTTGCCGCGTCGGCGGTTTTACACCCTCGGATGTGCAACCTTTCAGGGATCAAGGTTTAATTTGCCGGCATGCCATAATACAGAATTATACTCCGTAGATTTTACTAGCACTCCCCCATCCCGGAAAGGTTCGCCAAATTGACTTTTCTTGATCAACTCCGTAGAACCTTTTCGGGACATATAGGACGGTTATGTGGCACAACCGCACAATAATATAATTTGATTGACTTACAAAACCTGGGTCCTCTTAAATTAAGAAAGGTACTGTAGAAATTTCCTTTGAATAAATGTAATATCTTTATCCTATTATTATATTATCTTCCCCTATTTTCAATCCTTGCTCTATTTTTGCGAAAAAAGTGCCTCATGCTATAAAAACGTCCCTTATCCATAAAATTTTCAAGGCTGTAATAGAAGTTCAAACAAGTAACGGTTAGAAATGAAAGTACATGAACTTTGAGGCCGATTTTCATGCCCATGCAAGCATATATCCATTCATCAACCAATACCCCTCCTCCCATTCTCTTTCATGAAATAGAAATGTGAAATAAATGAGTACTAAAATTATATCACCCCCAAATTATTTACAAATATATATGTATGGTATATATCCCTTGTAGATTTATATAATTATTATTATTTTATTAAAAACACAAAAACCCTCTTCAATATATATTCTAGTTAATTAGGTCAAAGAGAATATGGAGACCAAATCATCAAGAAATGGCACATCCGCCCTCCAAGTGGACCCATCTTCTCCGCCGTCGCCGGAGCATACTCCGATGTGGAAGCTCGTCCTGGTGGCGTCGATAGCCGCCGGAATCCAATTCGGGTGGGCCCTCCAGCTATCCCTCCTCACACCTTACATCCAGCTTCTTGGTATCCCTCATAAATACTCCTCCTTCATTTGGCTTTGTGGGCCCATTTCCGGGTTGATCGTTCAGCCACTGGCCGGGTACTACAGCGACAATTGCACCAGCCGGTTTGGCCGCCGACGGCCATTTATCGCCGGAGGGTCTTTTCTTGTAATCTCCGCCGTCATCCTCATTGGGTTCGCGGCTGATATTGGCCACGCTGCCGGTGACCCCCTTGGCAAAATCTTTAAACCCCGCGCCATTGCCATTTTCATCTTCGGCTTTTGGATCCTCGACGTTGCCAACAACATGTTACAGGTAATTGTCAAATTGCATTTTCTTGATTAACGTCGCCCAACCTTAAATAATGATATTTTTTTTATAAGAAATTATTTTAAATATGAAAGTTATATCAAATGTTCCTTATTCAATTGACATTTTTAACTTTTTAGGTTAAAAGGTGGTTATTTGAAAGTACAATGTAGTAATTTGAAAGAGAGCGTGCAATGATACCTAAAATGCGCGTATATAATTGGATTATGCCACCATTTCCCGATATCATTGTGTGAATTACCTCATTGCAATACGCTGTATAATAGTAGTACTCCCTCCCTCCATTTACAAATTTGACTTTTCTTGGTCAAACAATTTCGTTTTGTTCACTTAATTAGGATGTCAAATTTAAATTATATTCTAATTTAAAGTATACAACTTTGAAGAGATTTTAATGTAGTTTTTGAATATGTAAATTTTAATTACTAAAAATGGAATTAAATATCAATAGTGAAGATTGACTTTTATTGTTGGTTGATCAAAAAATTTTGACTTTGCAAAACAATTTGGGACGGAGAGAGTAATAATTCAAGGATTAGACAGAGTTGTTGAACGTTATTAAAAAATAGTCTTTGTTAGATACGGAGTAGATACTCTTAAAAGTTGAAAACTTATCATTCTCACCCAAATATTTGATCAAATTCTTAGAGATAAGAGAAACCATTGTTAAATCTACGTAAAAACAAATAACCTAGTCTTTTGGGCCTCCTAATGAGATACTCCCTCCGTCCCTATTATAATTTTCAACTTTCCTTTTTCGTCCGTTCCAATTAAAACTTTCACTTTCCCATTTTGGTAAAGAATTTGTGCTTCACAACATTTCTTACACATTTTTCTCTCCTCTGCGCAACTCTCCACCACACAATACCCACTATCTTAAATTGTGTGACAAACATATTTGGATGTTATAATAGGAACGGGGGTAGTAATATATACTCTACTTTTCAAATTGAGTTGCAAATTTGACGTTTTTGGATCAAATATTGCTCCTTACTCAAGATTCGTGTAAGGGGGTGTTTGGATTTGATTCTTAAAACCGCTTCTGCTCCTTCAGGGAGCAGAAGCAGAAGTTGGAGTGTTTGGGGTAAAAGTGCAGAAGTGATTCTGGTGCTCTAATTTACTCCTAGAATCAGTTTTTTAGAAGCTGAGGGTGACCAACTTCTGAAAATTGATTCTGATTCTGCTTCTGCTTTAAAAAAGAAACAGAATCAGAATCAGTTCCAAACACCCCCTAAGTACCATCAGGGGCGGCTTTGAGGGCAGTTGGGCCAGGCAACTGCCTTGGGCCTCAACTACCAAGGGGGCCTCCAAAAAATTCTACTCTGATATTAGTATTAGGTGTTATTCGTAGACCGCCAATACACTAAGCGGCAACTGAAAGCAGAAATCAGCTTTATAGTTCACTTCTGACTATTCGTCCTTCATCAAAGTTGTAGCTAATTAAGTCTTCTATCCAACACAACTTACAAAAATGGATTTGAACCATCCAATGAAAATATATGAATAAAATGGTGGAAGGTCGCATTCTGAAATCTCAACAGAGGTTGTCTGACTTCATCGTCTGTTTTCACCTTGCTTCTCTCCGATTCTCACAATGGTGTCTTCATATGATTTGTAGCCCTTGAAGTTGGTTTTCATATGAAACTTGAATCATGTTTTTTGGATGTTCCTAAGAAAAGATATGCTTGAACGATTGACAGAACGTCATCCTGACCGTTGTTTTCAAGCTCTATTCGTCTTCTTTTGATCTCGTAGCCAATTCTAGAGCTCTTTTGTCTTCAAAACATTGTCTTTAATACCTCACTGATCTCCAATACTCCTAATCAACTCTAAAATGCTTCTCAACTCGTCCCTATTTCTTCTCAAACACCAGTGCCAGGCTCAAATTCCCTGATTTTGACTCCAAAAATACCAAAACTCGAACCAACGGCCGATAAATATGACTTGAGCTTAAAATTGAGACTTATGACACCTTAAAGTTAGGAAAAAACTATCAAAATCCGATCTCAAAACGCATCAACGTCCAACAGAGACCGCTAATCGGCTACTGTATATATGCCTCATTGCCCGCCGTCGACATGTGTCCTTGGTTAGTGAATCAACTAAGACTCTTCAGCTCTTCTCTCTCAGTCTCGTTCTTGAAGTCTCTTAATACTTTTACAAATACAAGTTTGCCTTGTGTTTTGAATAAGTTTGCATTTTAAAATTATTCCTTTTGAATATTACAAACATTATATCGTGGACTTTGAATATGCTTTTTTCATAAGGCGAATTTTATTCAATTTATCTGATTTTAAAAGTGATTTGTATATAGTAAATATTTTTCGTCTGGGGCCTCGAAAATGCTCAAGCCGTCTCTGAGTACCATACATCCATTCATACTCCATGAATCTTATTTGTTCTAAGAGATAATTCTGAATAAAATAGCACTCGTTTATTACTAAATAAGAAAGTTTCATGCTTTAAATAGAACTAAACAACTCATATTTTAAGAACAAAACATTACAAGATAGTCTTATTTTTGCGCATTTTCTATGTTTTCCTATTTGGAGGATTTCTTTTGTAATTATGGCTTAATTTAATCCTTCTTCAAGTCAAACTAACACTCTTTCCATGGTTAGGGTCCGTGTAGAGCATTGCTGGCCGATCTCTCGGACGGGAGTGCGGCAAAAACAAGACTGGCGAACACCCTCTTCTCCTTCTTCATGGCCATCGGAAACGTCCTCGGTTACGCCGCCGGCGCCTACCCCCGCCTCTACAAGATCTTTCCCTTCTCCTTCACCACCGCATGCGACGCCTACTGCGCCAACCTCAAGAGCTGCTTCATCATTTCCGTTCTTCTCCTGCTCACCGTCTCCATCCTGGCCTTGACCTGCGTCAAAGAGAAGCAGTACGTAAAGAGCAACAATGGCGGCGCCGCCGAAGTGGCATTCTTTGGGCAGATATTTACAGCTGTGAGGAGTCTTCCTAGGCCTATGCTTATTCTCCTCCTCGTCACTGCTCTAAACTGGCTTGCATGGTTCCCTTTCATCCTGTACGACACGGACTGGATGGGCCGGGACGTGTACGGCGGGCACGTCGACGACAACGGGCTTTACGATAACGGCGTGCGTGCCGGCGCGTTGGGGCTCATGCTCCAGTCCGTGGTGTTGGGGGTTATGTCCATTGGGGTGGAGCTCCTGGCCCGCCGCATCGGTGATGTGAAGAAGCTTTGGGGCGGGGTTAACTTCATTTTGGCCATTGGTTTGGCCATGACGGTGGCTGTTACGAAAGCGGCGGAGCACTCGAGGAGGCACGACGCTAGCGGCAATATTCTTCCGCCCGACGCCGGCGTTAAGGCCGGATCTTTGACCATCTTCTGCGTTCTTGGTATACCTCTTGCGGTAAGTCCCACCTTGACCACCTTGGCTGTCATTTATGGGGAATATTTATGGAGAATTTCCACTTTGTACTCCATTTTTTTGTGATATTAGACTTTAGTATTTTATATCTCATTTTTTAAAAAGTTTGACTTTGAAATCTGTTTCCTTAAAAATTATTGGAATTTTATCAATTCGGGACCCAAAAAATAGACGAATTATCAATTCTCTTCTTGAATGATGAAATGTATTGGTGTAAGACCCGAGTGATGAAGAACTATCAATTTAGGACTCAAATGATTGAAACCTATCAATTCAGGACCTAAGTTTTCATAAATTTTATTATTATTTTTATTTTAAAAACTTTAAATAATATTTAGTTTTATTAAACCAATAAACTTTTGTGAAGAAAATTTCATCAAATATTAGCAATGGAATTAGTAAAAAATTAAATAAATCAAAGCCTATGAAATGTTAGGTCCTAGATTGATAATTTTTCTTCTTTAGAGCCCTATACTGATACATTTCATCTTTCAGGTCCCGAATTGATAATCCGTCTATCTTTCAGGTCTCAGATTGATAAAATTCCAAAATTATTTGACTTTGCATCTCATTCAAAATGTTTTCACAAAATGTTGTATGCAAGTGCAAAGTCAAAGTCTTTTTGAAAATGGAGCGCAAAATCCAGTAGGACCCAACAAGTGATGTGTAAAGTCAAAATTCCCCATCATTTTTTTGTTCATTGATTTCTACTTACGTCAATCAGATTAGACTTAAACAAACTATATCGATCAGACCAAATCAGAATTAAATAGTTCAGAACATACCAGTCCTCAAAAATTGTAAATTTAGAGATCTCTTAATTAATTTAACTCCATAACTTTTATATGTGGTGATTATTAGTGTCTAATTTTATAGAAATAGAAGTCGTTCAATATAGGATAATGATAAACAAAGATCAAATATAGGACTAAATATGTTTTATTCCTCAACTTGGAATTATTTAGTCTTATTTAAAGAATAATTAACTTGATTAAAATTTACCACAATGAGAGTGAATGCATGAATCCTTTTAAGAATAAAACATTAATAGTCATATTGAACTTCATCCATGTTCTAGTCCAAATTGAAAATGCCTTTTTTAGTTTTTTATAATAATAACGGGAGTAGTATTTTTCGTTGGACTTTGGTATTAATTTATGTAAAAAATGCATGTTTACAGGTGACTTATAGCATCCCATTTGCTCTAGCGTGCATCTTTTCAAGTGATGACGAAAATGCTGGTCCTGGGCACGGTACGTAATCCTATAGTAGCTTCATATATACATACTCATATATTATATTTATTCATCAATTAATTTTGTATCATAAAATTTCACCTATGTACAGTTGGCCTCTCTTTGGGAGTTCTCAACCTTTCAATCGTTATGCCACAGGTGCAACATTATATTTAAATTATAAATCATAATACTAGTATTATTTTTGCACAAAAGTGATTTTCTTTAATTTCTCATCTTAATTTGTCCATTTAATTCGTAGATGTTCGTATCATTCTTAAGTGGGCCTTGGGACTCGGTGTTTGGAGGAGGCAACTTGCCGGCGTTTTTAGTGGGAGCGGTGTCAGCGGCGGCGAGTGGAATATTAGTTATAACTCTTCTACCAAAACCACGAACGGATGCAACCGTTCCGATTGTACCGTAGCATGGGGATGTACGGCGGCTATCTGGCCGGCCGGCCGCCACATGCGACTGTGTGAATATGTACTATTTGTGTTGTATATATGATGATAATGTAGAGGAGGATAGCAAATATGGGTCATGCTTAATCGAATTTGGAAGGATGGATGCTAAAGTTCAAATATATTTGGTTGGGATAATACTATTGTGTGTATATATTATTAATCACTTTTTCCAAAATCACTTCAAAGTCCTTTTTCTAATCAAAAGCATTTGCAAACACTCCCTTAAGCTATTACAATGACTTAAAAAACAACTCAAACGTAAACGGAAAATGAAAATACAAAGTTGAGACACTTTGAGCAATCTTTCCCAACCCCAATCCCAATTTCCAATTTTCTGCCTAACCACCTTCAGCTAGCTACTATTAGTAGTTTAATACCTCCCATTAAAACTTTACTAGTTACTTCACCCGTGCGTTGCACGAGAGTGAAGTACTTGTATAAAAACATTTGAAGCAATTATATAAAAATTAAATTACAAAAAATTCAACAATGGTCCAATTTATTAAAAAGGTTGAATAAAAATTTAAATTGGTATTCCCTTGTCTCTTTCTAAGGTTCTCACTTTTCTTTTTTGGGCATTCCATATGAAGGTTTGCATTTCTACTTTAAGAAATGATTAATACCCTTAAATGTCAATAAACATCAAATATTAAAAACAATAATACGTACATCCATAACATCATAATTGTAACATTGAACTCATTATTTTATATATCTTCCAAAGTTTTTTCTCAAAATATGCATGAATTACCTTATTTAATTATTGTCCAAATAGTCGTGTTATTTTGCATTGAGAATCTTTAAGCGGGACGAATGTAGTATGTCATTGCAATAACTTAAGAAGAAATAAAGTCTAAAAAGTAAGTGTATATATGTTCACGAACTTGTCAACGAAAACTACAAATTATTTAAAATTATTTGTATACATCCAACGCAAACATGGTTGGATATATTCCTCAAGTTGGATTGGTAGGGTCATTCATCTTCTTCACATATCACAAATTTCAACGCAGATGGAGTTGTTATACTCGATACTGATTGGGACAGAGGTAATAAATTTTGTTAAGCATAACTTCCTCCATTCTTTTTTTAGTTACATACCTTACATTTCACGTTTGAGACACACACCAATTTTGATCATTCATCACCATCATCATCACCACCACCATCATCATTATCATCATTACCCTAGTGCCTCAAAGGCTCACACCTACGGTGGGGTAATGGGGTTGAGTGTGCGCAACCTTGCCCTTTACTAAAGCATGAAGATATTTCCGGATGACCCCTGGTGGAAATCACGTTGAAAATTGCATAAAATGGGGTAATGATCCATAATGAGTCATTTTGCTTTAAAAATGATATCATTAATATACTTAAAAAATCTATCTTACTAAAAAACACATATTTAAAATTTACTAATGAGAAGAATTTAATAAGTTTTTAAAGATTAAATTTCTAATGATTAGAAAATAAAATGTAATCAAAGTAGAATATGTCAATAGTGTAAAATTCAACATTTTGCAATTATTTAAGAATGAGGGTAGTATTTCATAACAAATCAACTGTTTAAAAGCTACTTCGTATTATACTTGTATAGTGATATAGATAGCTTCATAACACATCTTTTATTTATGGGACATGAACGGAGAATGAATATAATACTCGTAGGGTATTCTAATTTCTAAGCCCAAAGAAACATGTTTTAAAATCAATTTTAAAAACAACTAAACTAACATTATTAAAATCTTCATAATTTTGAAATAGAAGCGCATGAAAAATATTTACATAAAACGGAACATACTCTGACCAAACATTCCATTAATGGAATTTAAATCGTAATAGTTAAAATTTTCTTTAACTTGGTAAAACCGTAAAACTTGATAGACTAACCATCTTTTCAACTCAATGAATCTCCAACATGTGATGCAGCCTAGCAACCTTGAGTTGTATACTAAAGTCTATCATCAATTTCTCAAAACTAAAGGCTGAAAACAATTGCAAAAAAAATAATATTTTTTAACTTTTAAGGTAGATTCCCATTTTTTCTTGTAGTCATATCAAATCAAATTATACATAAAACCAAAGGAAAGAATTCTCTTAACATGAATCGTATCAAACTATATCACCTTAACTCCCATTCAAGGCCATCTTCATTATGATTTCATCTTCAATGCCACGATTGCCACTCGATCGGGATTGCGGGATAAAATCATTTTGAAGGAGTGATTTTGGTATCGTATGAACTCGCCATAATATTGGGAAAAATAAACTATAAGGGACCATTTAGTCCTTTAAGACATTTAACATGGCTTAAGGTAGGGATGGACCCATCCGGTTCGAACAGGCCCGCTACTGTGCGGGCCCGGACTGGATCGGGCCCGGATGACCGGTTCCGGGCTTTAGCCCGGTTTGGGTGGGTCTGGCGGGCCAGGCCCGTGCCTTGATTTTCATGAACCGGCCCAGGCGGTCCGAGCCGGGCCCGGTTCATTTTTTTTCTTCAATTTTTTTTCTTTTCCTTGGGTAGGGCTGGGTGTTTTGGAGGGTTTGGGGGTGGGGGAGGGGGGTCAGGGGTTAATTACAAAGCCAAAAAAATTACCTTGAACCGGGCCCAGACCGGCCCGGCCCGGACCCGGTATCAACCCGGGCCGGTTCTGGGCCCAAAATCCTAGAAAACAAGCCCGACTTGAACCGGCCCGGGCCCAGTCCATGCCTAGCCTAAGGTTCAAATAACTTGATTAAATAAGAAATATAAATAAATAAATAATACTGGCTTAAATGAACATATAAAACATAACACATTTCATCTTTAAAGGACTTTAAGCCCAAAAACTATATGCTCCTGAACCAAATCATATCCTTATATATGTTCTCTAACTATAAATCAACAAAGATAGTTAGAAAAAGTGAAAACCATGTAACTTACAGTATGCTAAAACTAAATATTTTGAAAGTAAAAATCAAATATTGAAAAGTTATAAAATCATTCTCATGATTTCGTATGCTCAAATTAGGAAAGGAAGTAAATTTGAACATTGTTAGGAGTTCGCCTTTTTCGTGGCTAAAGTTTGATTAATATACAATAAAAAAGCTACCCAGAAACCTACTCTAAAGTTCGCCTAAAGCAAGGAAATGTATAGATCAGCAGCAACCCAAATATAAGACAACCCAGCTGCAGTTCGATCATACCGTGTACGAAATAAGCATAAAACATTTTTTAAACTACCAAAAATTAACTCAAAAAATTGCTCTCAAGTTGAGGCCTATTCTTGGACATACCATAGACTTTTCCTAACAAATGCTCCAATTTGAATATTCCCAACAAATCAGTTGCAACCCTAAAATTACTACATAAAAAATGCCACCACCAGATTTAAGCCAAATATCACCTAAATGAAGCTCCGTAAGAATCACAGCAGACACAACATTATCCCTAATCTATTCAACCACACACCAAACTTGGTGACAGATACTCCTCTCCCTCTCGGCACCGGTATGCAAACAAAAAAGTGTCCAAAACATCAAATCGAAGAAATAAAAAGTATATATTAATAAAAACAGATAAGTAAAGCATACTCCCTAATGGTGCGGGTGTGAACCAGCATTTTGCGAATTGCAAGCGACCTGAAATCAAATAAAAAATTGATCAGATCAAAGAATTGAAATGAAAAATCATAGGCAAGCATACCAAGATTAAGATCTAAAACTTAAGCGTTGCATGAAACTCACAAATTGTGTCTTATGACACTACTGGCAGGGTAGTTTTTTAATGCTATCTGGAAAAACAAAGAAAGATCGCCTATGCATTCTGTCAAAGATGTCATATGCAAAATATTTAAAGCACTTATAGATTAGAATATAAATTTAGCCGCATATAATCAAGTAGAATATTGATTCTCAATTCATTTAAGATGAATATTAATCCAAGATCAATAACATAGCGTCGTGGTCCAAATTCTGATTAAGAATCTAAAATCTATATTTGTTGATGAAGTCTAACTTCAAATTGCTCACTAAAAAATCTATCTCAATACAAAAAAACAGTATGAAAAAAACAATTTTTACTCTTGGGTAAGGTAGATATTAGAAAGAATTATATCGCTTTACACCTAAAAGAGTAAAACAGCACATAGTTTCATTATGTTTGATTTAGCACGCTATATATGTAGTAATTTGTTAAGGCGCCATTTTGGTTTTTCATAGTATGAAGAGGAATCTACCTTTTCTCTCTAATGTGACTTGGAGACAATTAAAGGAAAATAATCTGCATTTTTCTCTTAGTGACATTACTATATTATAGGACCATAGCCCAAAAAGAGAAAAAACGAAGAAAACAACGGATGGTAATGATTTTTATTTTCAAAAAAAATTGCCACATGTCAGATAGTTCTATACGGGAAGAGACTCTAGCATCTTGGAATTCGAATATAATATCATATAGTTTAAATCTTAGAATTTAAAAGACTTAATACTATGAACGCTTCAAGGATAATGCATGGGTGTACCTTTTTGACCCATGTAGATGAACATTACATACAATCTTCTACAACTGGTTTCTACTTTTACCTTAAGACCTATAAAATAATGTGGCCTCCTAATCACACCTATAAAGGAAAATCCTAAAAAGGCCATGTTGATATGACCTCCCTGTTTTTAGAAGTTACTCAATTTTTTTTTTGTTAAATGTAATTGTTACATTCAGTACTTGCTTTTATAGTTAGTCTATACCTCCTTCCAAATTTTTATTTAATCTAAACAAAAATTTATCTAAGAGTGCCATTTTTAACTCAACCATTTTTTAGCAATATAGTAATAGAGGATGAGACGTCCAACTTCGAAATTGATTTTAAACAAAAATTGAATAAAGAAACTTATTGATGTTAATTTTGAAGGTGAGGCTTTACAAACAAATTCATTGTCGTTGTAAGATAATAGTGGTTGTAAAGAGAGATTATCTCATTGTGAGGAATGGAGAACACATGGATTCTGGCCAGCATAGAAATCAAATAACATGAGAAATGTTAGTTGCTTTTAGTTGGCCTAAAAACTCATTTTAGGCGTTCAAGTTCTTGGAGACGGCCCCTCACCGCCATCGTTTCCAGATCACATGCGGTGAGGGGCCACCATCTTATGCAATAAGATAGGGAC